GATAGATAGATAGATAGATAGATAGATAGATAGATAGATAGATAGATTTGCATCATAAGAAAACACTTTTCACATCAGAAGAGCTAGAGCCAATTCTAGCCTGACACCACAGAGATAGGGATGAAACAGAGAGAACCTCATAACATGTGCCTCAAAAATGGCTGGTAATTTAAAATAAAAAATAAGAACAGGGACTTCATGCAAGAACAAATTAGATGTATGGATGAGCAATCAAGGGAAAATATTTGATTTGATTTTCAAGCACTTTCTGCCAATCAGTAGCCTCCAGATACTCAAAACTTCAATTCCAACTATCGTCATGCAGCATAGGCAAAAATTAGCATTTGTCCAATTACACCTCAAAAAAGGAACCAGAAATCTCCATATGTCTTTGTGGGCAGGAAAGGTTTGTCCCTGTTTTAACATAAAATGAAGAGGGGCAAATGGTTACGTATATTTATCTCCATATATGGTCAAACAGAATAATAGTCAATGAAAATTATGCCCTACTAAATTTGTTAAGACATAGAAGTGCACCAAAGGTCTTGCTTGATTTTTAAGATTAACATCATTAATCTGGAGTGCGGTTGAGCTACTTCAAATATTTACCAAATGTTTGCTGTCTTGAAATATTTTAGGACTGAAAGCTTAAGCTAAGTGTTTAACCACAGCCAGATACACACCCCAAGTTCTCACGATAGATATCAATATTCAAGGACCCATTCCCTTACATTTTAGATATCCAATTTGAAGTATAAGATGAATTTCAAACAGCAAATTCACAATTCAAAGAGCCAGCAATCCCCATTTTACAAGGTTTTAACGCTTAATTATTATTCGCTGTACTCTACATGAAGAGCTTGGCTGCCTGTTTGAAACCAACTCATTTTAATTTACCTTTCTTTCTTTCTTTTTTTTTCAAACAGACCAGAACCAAGAATATTTTTGAAAAAGGCAGGAATGCAAATGTGACGGATTATAATGTTTCCTTGGTGCACAAAAGGAAAACGTTCTTAACAACCTTTCTGGAACTGTGGCTGGATGGAAAAATCAAGAAAGAGATAAATGAAGTTTGCAGAGGGCAGAACTTACATCAGCAGAGAGGTAGGGATGACAGTTTCCAAAGTTTGGGCAGAGATAGTTAGAATAGAATTGACCCGGAAGAGACCTTAGAGGTCTTCTAGTCCAGCCCCCTGCAAGTGGCTGTCTTGTGTCTTCTTAAAACCCTCCAGTGATGGAGCATCCACAATTTCTGAAGGCAAGCTGTTCCACTGGTTAATTGTCCTCACTGTTAGGAAGAATTCTGGGAGTTGAAGTCCACAAGTCTTAAAGTTGCCAAGTTTGGAGACCCCTGGTGTTCATGCCCCTGTTAGAAACTGACTCCGAGGGAGAGGAGGAAGAGCCAACAGGAAGTGGGAGTGTGGCTCTGGAGGTTGTGGAGGAAACTGGGGAAGGGCACAGGCCAGATGGGCATTCAGAGGAAGACCCAGGCCCATCTCCTCTCCATCCTAGGGCACGCAGGGAAGAGTGGATAAGGGAGAAATGTGAATGGTATGGTCTATGGGGAGGAAACGGCCCTGATCCCCTTCATGGGCTGCAGCTGTGAGGACTGTTTAAAAGGACATATTGCGCATGGCCCAGTGCTGGAAGCAAAGCCATGAAATAATTCTAGTCTTTTGGTTCTTATCTGAGTTCTGGCCTCCTTCCCAGTGTGGGTATTTTAATATCTGTGGACGTCTTCAATCCCTTATCCTGCCTTGTCTCATTAATTGTGTCAGTGTGGTTTGTGTTGTTTTTCTATTTATAATTTATATGTATTTCGCGTTTGAATGGAAGTTCTTCCTTTTCACAACTGTTTGTGGAGGAGTTTTTCTCCCGTCAATGATAATTGGACCTTTGAGGCCAAGTTGAAGAAATTAAAGGGACTTCACCCGTTTTTGTGATTTTGTTGCTTTTGTATTCCACCCTGGGTCATCACATCTGGTTTACAAAGAAGATGCCACTGTTTTCTTTCTTCAAAGTCTGACGATTTCTGAAAACCCTCCAAAGTTGATAAGATACCATGGTGCAATACTGCTTCCACTCTCATGATGCTAAGGAGATCCGTAATTCTTATTGTATGGATGGGAGACCACTGAGCAGTGTAGTGGCCTAGTTGGTAAAGAATTCAGTCCTAGATAGTGGCAGATGTTTCTCTCCTAGGCGCAAAGAGAAAACATCCGCTGCTCACTCTGTGTGGCATCACAAAGGGCATCTGGCCAGTAAATGCTTAGTTCCATTCAGTCACCTTGACTCCACCCCGAATTAAGAGATTACAGGGTTGTAAAGAGGGAGGATTTTTTTTAATGGATAGAAAACCACTCTGGGGAACTATTACAATAGAATGACAATGCCAACTCATAAAACATATTGTATATACATTTTATAGTTGTCAACGGAAAGGAGAGAGAGTTTGAAAGAGCAGGCGGCAGTGTGGAATCGAAAATACATTCCATTCATATTTTCTTCAGAGACTGATTAGATAACTGAAGCTTCTGCCCCGCAGTCGAGAGCATGATTGATGACTCTTGGCTATGGACGTGTTTCGTTGGATGATACACCCAGATGGGTGGGGTGGGGGGAAAACAGGATCAAGGGTGACAGTGAATTACGTGTCTCAGAGTCAGCTACACCCAGGCAAATGCCGGTATGTTCACTTCTAATAAATCCAAAGAAGTTTCGGGAGTGTAGCTCAAGGCTCATGATTTAATTTGAGTAACTGCCGGAAATCCTGACAAACAGAGTTGGAAGGGACCTTGGAGGTCTTCTAGTCCAACCCCCTGCTTAGACAGGAAACCCTACACTGCTTCAGACAAATGGTTATCCAGCCTCTTTTTAAAAACTCCCAGTGTTGGAGCATCTACAATTTCTAGAAAAAAGTTGTTCCACTGGTTAATTCTTCTCACTGTCAGGAAATTTCTCCTTAGCTCTAAGTTGCTTCTCTCCTTGATTAGTTTCCACCTGTTGCTTCCTGTCCTGCCCTCAGGTGCTTTGGAGAATAGCTTGACTCCCTCTGCTCTGTGGCAGCCCCTGAGATATTGGAAGACTGCTGTCATGTCTCCCCTAGTCCTCCTTTTCATTAGAATAGACCTATCTAGTTCCTGCAACTGTTCTTCATATGTTTTAGCCTCCAGTCCCCTAATCCTCTTTGTTGCTCTTCTCTGCATTCTTTCTAGAGTCTCAACAGCTACATTTATCAACTACACTCTGGAAGAATTTCTGAGACTGGTGAACCAGCACATCTGGAGAACATCAGGCAAGAGGAAGATCGACTATGTTGGGTCATAGAGAGCTTCCAATTCTACCTGTATTTAAAATAAGGAAAATAAAAGTTTCCTTACCAAACTCACTGGCGCATAAGTGCTCCAGGATGGCATCTGACTTCATTTCATTGTCACAAGGGGGACACACAGCAGTGCCTGTCAAGAGAAGGAGGACATATCAAGCAAGGGAAAGTAACAACAGCGTGAAAGAAGAACAAGTGCCCATATATACAAATATACCAAATGTAACTGCTCATAAGTTATGCTCATTCGTTTCCCATGCTCCTATCAGTGTCCTCCTTCTGGGCAGGTGTAATGAGAGCATTGTGTTTAAGGTGGAGTTCATTATTTTGTGCTTCAGTAATGAAGTCCTGCTTAAATGCAATGCTGTCATTGAACCTGCCCAGAAGGAGGGCACCAGAGGTGATACTCAGCAGGTTCTGACCAGTTCTGGACAACCAGTAGCGGAAATTTTGAGTTGTTTGGAAGCCCAGCAAATCCCACCTCTGACTGGCCCCGCCCCCATCTCTTCTCTGCCTCCCATTGAGTCCCAGCTGATCAGCTGGGTCTTCTTCAGTTGCCCTGCAGAGGAGAATGGAGCTGGAAAGCAGGTTAGTGGAGTGGGGAGCGAATTGAGATTTTGCAGGAACCTTCCCCTGCCACGCCCACCAAGCCACGCCACGCCCACCAAGCTACGCCCACAGAACCAGCAGGAAAAATAAATTTGAATCCCACCACTGTAGGACACCGATAGGAGCACGGAGCTCTTGGGAAACGAATAAGTACGTCGCAATGCAATCCCTCCTTTGTGATAGTGGAGGTAAAATGAGGGTTTCTGTACTAGTTCCAGACCACAGAGCAGCCATCTGGTGAACGGGGAGGGTGGGGGAAGAGCTTGCGTGACAGTGCCCACAACATGGTCTCGTAACAGCTGAGATCAACCACCGACTGCAGAAGATTACCTGACATGGAATTCTTTCAGGCTCCCAGGGAAACCAGGAAAAGCCACATCCACAACCGAGATCTTTGTTCTGTTGAAGTTCAGCTACAAAACCCAGATGCCTGCCGCCTCCCTTGTCTCCTGCACCCTTTGCCAAGATCAGCAACGGGATTCCAAACGCTAGTTCTTTTTTTTTCTTCTTTTTTCTTTCTCATCTGCCTCTTGACACCGGAATGGTTTTTCCCGCTCCGCAACCCCCTCCCCCTGAAAGTGTTTGGCTTTCATCTTGGTTCATTCCTCCTAAGCTGTTTACATAGCACCTGAAGTCAGCCATAAGAAAAGCTACGAGGTTTGCTCTGCAGGAGCTCCAAAGAAAACATCCTTTCCGAGTTGAAGCTTAGCATTCCACCTCCAGCAAGTTGAGTGGAGAACGGAGTCTTTTCTGAATCCTTCTTTGTGTGTGTTTGCAGGTGACACGGACGGATGGATGGATGGATATATGGGTAGGTAGGTAGATAGGACAAAGGGGGGGGAAGACGGAGGGAAGATGAAAGGAAAAGAAAAAAGGAAGGAAGGAAGGAAGGAAGGAAGGAAGGAAGGAAGGAAGGAAGGAAGGAAGGAAAGAAAGAAAGAAAGAAAGAAAGAAAGAAAGAAAGAAAGAAAGAAAGAAAGAAAGAAAGAAAGAAAGAAAGAAAGGGAGCACAGGAATAGAGGAAGGAAGG